AGAACAGAGGATAAAAAAAATCTCATTCTGGTAATGGACTCCTTGAAAAACAAAATCAAACTAAAAGAACTCAATGATTCCATGAGACAACAAGAAATATTAGAACAATGTCAAAAGATTGAAAAAAAAATAGAAAATGTAAAGTATCTGCTATCAGAAAGAAATAACCCGGAAAACATGTTGAGAAGAGAATTTAAGAATCAGACTCCCTGAAAACCATGACCCTCTCAGGGAAAAACAAAACAAAAAACCTTGGCCATTGTATTTCAAGAAATCATTAAATAAAGCTGCCTAGAGATAAGAGTCAAGATGACAGAATGAGAGTAGCATTTATTTCCCCAGCTCCCCAAACAACTTCCCCTACAACAACCTAGAAAACATGCTAGATGGAATTCTGATCATGAAAGCCAAGAAGAAGTCACAGCAAATTATTTTTCCAGTCCAGTACAGCTTAGGAAGATAGACAGAAAGGTCTGTGGACACTGGGGTGGGAGCTAGCCAGAAGCACAATGCAGTGGCAGTAGAGGCAGTGAGCAGAGGTAGCAGTTGGGGGAGGACACATTCTGGAAGCTAAGGATGATAAGAGGGCTGAGACTGAACACTGAGTTGAAAGCACTGGGGCAGAAAGAGATCCCAGGGAACCCCAAAACCAGTGCTGTGAAGAGGAACAGGCCTATTAACTATTAACCAGTTCCAGGGTGGAGAGGAATGGCAGTTAGCAAGAAAGGCCCTCGCTGTGTAGATAACAAGGAACAAATCCCCAAAACTTAGCTGTGTGGCTCTGAGCCCAAGAGCAAAAGAAGGGCTCAATTTTAACCTTCAGTCCCACATATAAGCCTTCAGTAGAATAACCAGGATGGGAAACCAAGACCAAAGGGGAGTCAAGCAGTTTAGTCTCTCTGAATCTACAGAACTTCCCAGTGGGCTAACAGTAATTGAGTGCAGTGGTGGTCTACTACAATTTGACAACACACAGTCCAACAGACCCAAACTCAGACAGGAACTTTCAGAGCTCATGCCAAAATGGCTCTGTACAAACCTTTACCCAGATCACACCACCCTGGAAGCACCCAAAACTTGTAGGCCCCAAGATTGTGCTATGAAAACAGCAAAAAGACAAAAAAAGAGAGAAGCTCAAACCAGACATTCCCCCACTCCCCAGAAGTAGGCAGAGCCCAATACTAACATAAAGCCCAAAGTCAAGAAATAGGCTGGAAGACTGAGCAAACAAAAAAAAAAAAAGAAGAACCTGAACTACTATGGTGACAGAGAGGGCATTTAGGTGGTGCAGTGGATAGAGTGCTGGGCTAATCTTCCCGAGTTCAAATCTGGCCTCAGACACTTCCTAAATGTGTGGTCCTGGGCAAGTCACTTAACTCTATTTGCCTCAGTTTCCTCATCCATAAAATAAGCTGGAGAAGGAAAAGGCAAGCCACTCCAGCATTTCTGCCAAGAAAACCACAAATGGGTTCATGAAGAGTCCAATATGATTGAAAAATGACTGAACAACCACAAATGATGACAGGGAAGCTCAAGATACAAACATAGAAGACGACAATTTGAAAATAGCTAGAAGTAAAGCCTCAAAGAAAAACACAGATTGGACATACACCCAACAAGAATTTTTAGCAGCGTTAAAGAAAGCAATTAAAAACAAACAAACCCAAAAAATCATCTTAAAAACCAAATGAGAGTAGAAGAGGAAAAAAATGAGCACTTTGCAAGAAAGTTATAAAAAGAAAATTAACAGCTTTCTAAAAGAGGCACAAAAACTTTACTGAAGATAACTCCTTAAAAATTAGAATTGGCCAAATGAAAGCTAATGACTTCATGATTCATCAAGAAATAATAAAACAAAATCAAAACACTTAAAAAGTTAAAAGAAATGTGAAATATCTCATAGGAAAAACAACTGACCTAGAAAACAGATTAAGGAGAGACAATTTAAAAATCATTGGACTACTTGAAAGCCATGAACAGAAAAGGGCCTAGATATCATATTTCAAAAAAAAAAATATTCTAAAGGAAAATTGCCTAGATATCTTAGAACCAGAGGATGAAGTAGAAATCAAAATAATACACTGGTTAATGCCTAAAAGAAAGCCAAAATGAAAACTCCCAGGAATGGTATATCCAAATTCCAGAACTTTCAGGTGAAAGAGAAAACACTGCAAGCAATAGGAAAGAAAGAATCCAAGTACAATGGAAACACAGTCACCACACAACAGTCACCATTTTAGAGAAATAGAGGAGTTGGAATATAATATTTTGGAAAGCCAAGGATCTAGGATTACAACCAAGATTAACCTATCCAGTAAAACTGAGATTAATCCTACAGGGAGGAAAAATGAAAATTTAATGAAACAGAGGACTTTCTACCATTCCAGATGAAAAGACCAGAGTTGAATAGAAAATCTTGACATTCAAACACAATACTCAAGAGAAGCATAAAAAGTTAAACATAAGGGAGAAATCACAAGTTACTAAATAAAGTTAAACTGTTTATATTTTTATACAGGAAAAAGATACACATACCCCCTCAGAATGTAATCATCACTAGGGCTTTTAGAAGGAATCTAATTAGACAGAGGGCCTAGGTGTGATTCTATTTTGTTGGGATGATTTCAAAAGAATAATGGAAAGGTGGAGAGGAGGAATGTACTGGGAGAGGGAGGAAGGGAGAAGAAGAATAGGGGAAATTACCTTATATAAATGGGATGCAAGTAGGAGTTCATCCAGGGGTGGGGAACCTATGGCCTTGAGGTCACATGTGGCCTTCTAGGTCCTCGGATGTGGTCTTTTGACTGAGTCCAAGATTTATAGAACAAATCTTTTTATTAAGAGGATTCATTCTATGAAATTTGGATTCAGTCAAAGGGCTACACCTGAGGACCTAGAAGGCCACATGTGGCCTTGAGGCTGCAGGTTCCCCATCCCTGGATAAACTTTATACAATAGAGGGAGCAAGCAGTGAGTGGGGGTGGGGGGCAACACTTGAACCTTCCTCTTATCTATATTGATTCAAGGAGGGAAGAATAAACATATACATACAGTTGGGTACAGAAATGCATCTTACTCAACAGGGACGTAGGAGGGAAAAGGGTTAAGAGAAAGTAGGGGTAGAGAATAAGAGGGGAGGCAATGGTCAGAAGCAAAACAAATTCTTGAGGAGGGGACAGGGTAAAAAAGGGAAGGATATGTATACAAAAATAGGATGGAGTTAGCATTCATAACTGTAAATGTGAGTGCGATAAACTAACCCATAATAGAGGATAACAAAATTAATTAGAAATTAGAATTCAACAATATGTTGTTTACAAGAAACACACTTGAAATGGAAATGTATTCAGAGTTAAAAATAAGAGATTAGAGCAGAATCTATTAGTCATTTCGTCATGTTCTACTCTCTGTGACCCCATTTGGGGTTTTCTTAGCAAAGATGCTAGGGTGGTTTGCCATTTCCTTCTCCAGTTCATTTTACAGATGATTATGCTTCTTCTTAAATAAAAAAGGAAAGGATGACAATCATGTCAGACAAAACAAAAACAAAAATAGACCTAATTATAAAAGGTACCATAGACAATGAATTACTATCAAGACTGAACATATATGCACCAAATGGAATACCATCAATCAATATGCACTTGTTAAGCACCTCTATGTACCAGGGACTCTGCTGGGGCTAGATGCTGGGATAAAGACAAAAGTGAAACATTCTTTTGAAACATATGTGTGTGTGTATATGTATACATATATGTATGTGTGTGTATGTATGTGTGTTAGGGGGCCCAGAAGTGAATGGGGTGTGGAATTAAGAAGGGAGTCTTTTAAGAGGTAGTACTTCAGCTGTCCTGAAGGAAACCAGGGATTCTAAGAGTCCGAGGTGGGGAGGGAGTGCATTTCAGGCATGGAGGACAGCAAGTACAAACACAGAGATTTGAGAACAGAAGTGCTGGGTGAGGAATACAGTGAGAGGGCCAGTTTGATTGGAAAAGTACTCTGAGGGGCTTCCCTGTTAAGACCCATTATGATCGAGGACTAGATGGGGATAGGGTGAGGCAGGAAATAACTCCACTAATTGATGTAATTATTATTCTCTACATTATTGTTTATGGTGCTTCTCAATTTTATATCTCAATTAAATTTTCTTGCTAATGGTTTGGTTTCTCTTACATGGCTTAGTAAAAAAATGTTGTAACAGATGGGGACTTGAACACTGATTTATACAACGTGTTACCTCACAGAGTCAGAATGAACCTTGGACAAGTAGCTAGTAGCCCCACAGCCAGAGTTCTCAGAGACTCCAGGAGTCAGCTATTGCATCTCTGTCGATAGCACTGGGCTCCTGGCATAGTGGCTGGCACAAAGCAATAATAAACATTTATTGATTTGAATTTGGGCTATGCCTATAAAGTGGTTAGACTTTTTTAAAACAGGCATAATAAAAGTTATACATCCCAATCAGTGTTGGATTTCAAGGTATTCATACCTTAAGAGATCATTTGTGTTCTACTATAATGTAATCACTGCTAAAACACTTTTCCAACTATACCTTTAAAGCCAGGTTATAAGCCACAGGGAAAAAACCTCAACACATTAATTCATAGTTACACTTCATTTTTAATACAAAACAGTATTACCAAGTGTCATCACCTACCTTATTCACCAACTCCAAGGTAACTACTCTGAAAGGGACAACACTCATTTTGATGAATAAGGTTCAATGTTTGCTTAACAATCAGTCACGTTACTTAATGTTGATTATATTTTTCAAAGCTATTTAAAGTCTGTAGAATGTTAATCACAACTTAATGATGACAAAAAAATGAAATTTAAATCACTAGTTTATTTGCATACTTCCTAAAATCACTCTAGATATTGCAAAATCAGAAATTTAAATGCTTATAAAACTTATGAAATTAAGATTAAATTTAAAAAAATTTTCTTCAACTAACATACTTAGATAAATTATTAAACACTTGATAGATCTCAGAACGTACTTTCATTGCCAAGCTCTCTCCAAGGGAAGCAATATTCTCAGATTTTTTATCCAAGCATGCTTGCAGGCATTCCTTTTCTTTAGCTATATCACTGAGTGTTGCACCAAGAAGGTTGATTTCTTCTCGCTGGGCAATACTTTGCCTTGTAAAATTATCTAGACATGAAACCACAAAGGTGTAGTTTTTAATTGAATTAAAATTTTCAAGCAGGCTCTAATACTCTTTGCAATGAGTTCTCTTTTATTTGAAGCTACTAAAAATATTAAGCAGATTAATAAAAGTTGTCCAAATAACAATTAGTTTTTACCTCTAATAATAGCATAAATAGTCATGAATTTTAAATAGTTCATAAACTTAGAAACATAGTCAACAATCTGAAATAGAATCTGTGTACAAAGTTGAAAACTATATTTAATCTTCACTTAAGTTCTACTCTGATGGTTTATCACTATGTTCAAGTGACCATGGGTTCTTTAAGACTGTTAGTGGAGGGAACAAATTATAGTAGCTTCTAACAAGGTGACAAGACTTATGAAGATCGACTAATGGACCAAAGTCCAAGTGACAGCTCTGTTAATTACCAAGAGGCTTATCATCTGAAGACTGCAATAAGCTAAACTTTTTTTTCTGTAAAAACTCATGAAACCACCTACTTATGTTATTGGAAGAAGCATCCACATAGATGAAATTGTTGATTTTTTAAAGTATTAAAGTGACTACAATTAAACACCTTGTTGATTTACATAGAGATTATCATTAGGGCATAAATGTCCATGTATTTTCAGATATTTTCCCTAAGTAGCAACCAAACCTAGTTAAAGCAAAAACACAGCAGAAAAAAAGTCTACCTATGCAACAAATGATTCAAGTATCAACTTTCCAGAAGTTCCAATGTGTTGTTTAAGTGTTCCATAAAGTCCAATTCTAATTCAATCAATAAAAATTTATTAAGCACCTACTACTGTGTGCCAGGCACCGTGCTAAGTACTGGGGATACAAAAAGAGGCAAGGAACTTATAATCTAATGGGGGTGAAAAATTGCAAACGAATATATACAAAGCAAGCTATATAATTAACAGACGGAAGGCACTGGAATTAAGAGGGGTTAGAGAAGGCTTCCTGTAGAAGGTGGGATTTTAGCTGGGACTTCAATAAACCCAGAGATGGCAGTGAGAGAAGCAGAGGGAGCAAAGCGTTGCAGTTCTTGGGGACAGTCAGAAAAAATACCTGGGGCCAAGAGATGGAGTGTCTTGTTCATAGGAACAATCAGGAAGTTAGTGTCATTGGATCAGAGTATTTGTCAGGGAGTGAGGTATTAAGAAGACTGGAAAGGTAGGAAGGGGTTAAGCTATGAAGGGTTTTGAATGCCAAACAGAGCATTTTGTATTTAATCTTGGAGACAACAGGGAGTCACCATAGTTTATTGAGTATGCAGGTCAGACCTGGGATGGGCATGGGAGTCACTTTAGTGACTGAATGGAGAATAAATTGGAGTGGGGAAAGATTTGAGACAGGCAGACCCACCAGCAGGCTATTGCAATAAGTCAGGTGTGAGGTGATGAGGGCCTACACCAGAGTGGTGACAGTGTCAAAGGAGGGAAGGGATGTATTAGAGAGTTATAAAGGTGAAATCAAAAGGCCTCAGCATATGGATATGGGGGAGAGGGGGACAGTGTAAGAGATAATGAGGAATTCAAGATGACTTCTGGATTGTAGTCTGAGAGACAGGGAGGACAGACATGTTTTATAGTTATAGAGAAGGTGTGTGTGTATTGGGCTGGGGTGGGCTGGGGTAGTTAATCTAGGAGGAAAGATAATGAGTTCTGTTTTAGACATATTGAATTTAAGATGGCTACTGGACATCCAATTTGAGATGTCTGAAAGGCAGCTTGAAGATAAAAGATTCGAGGTCAGCAGACAGATGGAAGCAGGGAAGATAGATTTGAGAATTATCAGCATAGAGATGATAATAAAATCCATGGGAGTTGATGAAATCACCCAGTGAAGCAGTAGGGCCCAAGACAGAACCCTGAGGGACATCTACAGTTAGAGGGCATGATCTGGAAGAAGATCCAAGAAAGGAGGCCAGAGAAGGAGCAGTCAGATAGGTAGGGGAGAGATTAAAAATAAGTGGAGATAAAAGAGTTGGAATGACGGAGATCCCAGAAGATCTGTTTGCCCTTAGAGAGTTCTAATTTTTTTGTTTCTTTTTAGCTTTTCAAATAAATCCTTCTGTACCAGATCTCAGAGAGGGTCCAAGACCACGGATGGTCTGAGAAACCCCTGGTACTATGGCTAAATATTATAGAAGCCACCTAGTGCTAGGGAAAATAGGGGTAACACCACATTCAAATTCACTATTACCTTCAAAGGTGCTCTACAAGTAGCAGCTTTGTATCTATATAACACATTCTGATGGCTAATGTCATTGGTCTATCATTATAAGGTGCTGTGTTCTACGAGCAAAGCAGAATTGATGCAGCTCAAAAAAAAAAAATGCAAGATGCACAAATTTAGAGAATCCACCCCAAGTGTTCAAATGGACTATTTGTGCCCGACCTGTTGTAAAACATTCCAAGATCGTACTGGTCTGATCAGCCACAGCTTGACACACTGTAACTTACTCTAGCACAGTGATGTCATTTTGGTCCTCTTCGAGAATGAAGGACAACAACCAACCAACCATCACTTCAGGAGAGGATCATGACCTTCAAATAAGAGCTACATGTACATACCATTTCACAGCTATGTCCTTTGTTAATTCTAATACCTGGGATCCTGCTTTCAAATGGAATCAAATGAGATTGAAGAGAACAGAAAAAGTGGTGTCCTTCCCCACTCTCTGAACGCCCGTTACTTGGTGGGTCCACACACAGGCTGCAGGACTAGCACAAGTTTCCTGCCCTTACATTCTCCACTCTCCACCAGCAGCTCCCTTGGTTTCAACAATCTCTTCATGCCCTCGCCCTGAGGTGCACTGATCACCTGAGATCTTATCACCACGAAAATAGACTTGGGTTTTGATACTCAACATCATTAAACTACTCCCAAAGGCTTTCTTTTTAGAGGGTTCATAGCTTTCCTGGCAGCTCCACTCTCCACTAGCAGCTCGGCTTGGCTTCCACTCCAGGGCACAACATGCCCCCATACCAGGTAGCAACTAGCACCATCCCCCTCTTTCAGCTTCCTTTTGTTTGTTGTCTCTCCCATTAGACTGCGAACTTCTTGATGGCAAGGACTGTCTCTTTTTCTTATTTGCACTTAGCACAATGCCTGGCACATAGTAGGCACTTAAGAAATGTTTACTGAATTAAATTCAAGTTAGTCCTACTTTTCAGAGCAATCTCAGGTTCAAAGATCCCAGAGGAAATATGGATAGATGTGGAACAAGAAGGGCTGGATGGTGGAGCACTAAACTCTTCCCAAAGCCTTGAGAAGGAAGCAGGTAAATAAGAAATATTGCTATAGGACAGATGTGTTTATATACAGTTTAAAAAAAACCATACATTTCTGCTATACATATTAAAATCCTCTCTTACAAAGTAAAATTTACCTGTGTTCTGGGGAAAAATACATTTGTGTTGATTCACATTAAATCTACATTTTAAACCAATAAAACAAATTTCTTGACTCACAAAGACTGATCTATGTCACCAATATTGAGAACACCCCAACTGAGGCAGACATCAAATATTGCTTTAGAAGCAGAAATAGATGCTTGACGAAGATCATTTAACTGACTCCAAGCTTATCACATTAGTCACTAAATCTACATACGTAAGTTTCAAGGGAGTCACTAAGTATGAAAATATGTATAATGGTATGCAACAAGTATGATGGTAGCAAAAATTACCGGATTTCTAAACAAGGTAAGCCAATCTCCTTCTTTGTGTACTGTCTAACTGTACCTACTCTTTCCTAACCCAGCCTTTTAACATTCAAATTCCAAAAGGAAGACTTGGGGAAGGGGACAGGTGGAACAAAGAGTAAAGTAATATTTTAAAAATAGCTTGTTTGGTGGTAATAATGTCTGCAAGATGAAAAAGCAAACAATATTCTATCATTTCAATGTCTCTCTCTTCATGATGACTGACATATAGAGAAAAATTGCAATTTTCAAACATTCAGATAATTTACTAAATTCTTCAGTCAGATATGTGGTATCTTCTGGCCAGAGTCAAGATGTTACCTTTTACACGAACTATGTAAGCTTGGAAAAGTCACAGAGACTCTGTGGGTCTCAGTTCTCTCACCTTAAAAAGAGAAGCGTTGTAGTAGATAATTTCTTAAGTTCCTTCCAATTCTTTCATGCTATGACTCTAATTAGTAAACAGTCAATGTGCTACCAAAGACATGAGACATGATTTTTTTTTTCTGGTAAGATAAATGAGAGAGCTATAAATTGAAATGTCTTTTTCAGGTCAAGTGTGTGTGCACTCCAATCAGAATTTATACATATCCACTAAGTATCTTTTGCTAATATTTAGATGCAGCAGAATTGTGCTAATTAATGTATATAAATTAAAATTTGTTCAATAGTTTTAAAATTGTAGGAGACATTTCCCCTAAGATTTCATCAGTCTGGGATTATTCAATGAGAAATGTATAGACAAAAAACCTTTCAGTGATTTATATACATTTATGATTCCAAAAGTACCTCTTTTACTGTATAGGAAGAGTAATTTTATTTATATTGCTTTGATTCATAAACAATTGATTTTTTTAAGGATTTCCCCTTGTATCTTTCTAAATTAAATCTGAATAAAAGATATACTTAATCTTGGCTCCTTGAATACTTGAAAAAACTAGAGTTATGAATTCTACTAATATGTCAAAATGTGTAGATTTTTAAAAATAATTTGTATAGTTTAAAGCTATAAAATGTGAAATTTAGGATGGTCAGGCTAAGATTCGTAGTGAACTCTAGATATCTGATTTTCTGTTTTCTAAAAAAGAATCTAATATCATACAATTTCGTTTATTTTTCTACCACCATAAAGTCAAAGAAATAAAAGTATTATTGGACAGTGAGCACTCACCAATCTTTTCATCTAAACACATAATTTTTTCCTGGGTAAGTTGTAGCTCATATTTCTTCTTAGCAAGGTGTCGCTGAGTGTCTGAAAGATCCTTTTCTGTGTTTTCATATAAAAGCCTGCAAGCATATTGACAAAACTTTAATTCTGGCTGTTATAAACTTTTAAAAATTGCAACTTTCCCCTTTAACTTTTGCAGTGTATTTAAGTTTATAAAAGGTTAAGAACAAAGATGTATATTTATTGAATTAATGTGGGGTTGTACAGCAAAAATTTAAGAAAATATAAAAAAGAGTATAGCTAACATGTCATATAAAACCAGGTTATAAAAAAAAACAAAAAATTTTTTAAAAAATTAAAATAAAAAACAAATGAACAAACAAACAAGGCTATGCACTGTCAGGATCTCAAGATACCGCTGGACTCATTTGACCTGTCTGGGACTATTTCCTCATCTATAAAATAAAGGGATCTGATTGGGTGGTTTTAAAGATATTGTCCAAATGTAATGATCTCTGATTTAATGATACTTTTCCAGACTGAAGTCAAGGTTTTTTTTGGGGGGGGGGGGAATGCCATATGCATTAATTATTCCTTAAGACTGGCACAAATGGCCAGAGTTAAAAATGCAAATGTTACCTGAGAAGGTTATTAGTCCATTAACATTTTAGCCCAAATTCCTTGACTATATCATCAAAGAACCTTAAAGTTGGATGGGACCTCAGAAGGCATCTAGTTCAATCTGTACCTGACCAGGAATCTTATCTACATCATTCCCAGCAAGTGACCATCCAGACAATAATTTGAAGATCTCTAATGTGTAACCCACTACCTTTTGAGGCAGTCCATTCCATTAAAATAAAATGAAATTGTTTTTTAATGATGCTTTTAAAACATCTCAAAAAATCTTACTATACACTTCCTCTCACCATTGAAACAAAGGAAAAAAAACAACTGACCAAAACATTATCTGATAATATGTTACAACATCCAATCCCCATAGACCTCTACTTCTTTCTACCTCAAAGAGAGATTTGTTTTCAGGCCTGTTTTCCAGAATCAAGATTGCTATCTGCAATTAATCTGAGTTAAATGGCCTTTTAGTGTTGTCTCCATTTACATTTCTCAAGTCATTGTGTATAATTTTCTCTTGATCCTAATCTATCTCACTTCATATTTCTTTGAATGCCTAATACTCATAGTTTCTCACAGCACAATAATATTCTATGATATGCATATACCACTTGTTCAGCCATTTCTCAATTGATAAGAACCCACTATGTTTCTAGTTTTTTGCCTTTTTGGAGATTTTTTCCTATTCCAAAAATACTACTATGGATATTTTAGTATGTATGGTACCTTTCTTTCTGTAACTGATTTTACTTTGGGATATAGTGGAAGCACTGATTCACAGGACACAGGTTAGTGATTTTTATTATTAATCCAAACTGCTTGCAAAAAAAATAAAAGTTGGATCAATTTCCCATCTCTTGTATTCATATGCCTATCTTTCTACAACTTCTGCAACAATTGCCAGTTTTTTGCTGATTTGCAAATGTGAAAGCTTGAGAGTTGTTTCAATTTGCATTTCTCTTAGTGTTTTTTTTTCATATTTTTGTCAATAATTTGCAATTACTCTTTTGAAAACTACTGATATCCTTTGACTACTTAGCAGGGAATGGCTCTTGGTGTTAGTTATTTGTGTCAATTTCTAATATATCTTGCACATCAGACCTTTATAAGAGATTTCCTGCAAAGATTCTTTCCCCTCCAATTAAATTCTTTTCTTATTCTTGCTTTACTTATTTAGTTTATATTAAGTTATTTAATCTTACGTAAATGAAATTGGCTATTTTGTCTTTTATGTTCTCCTCTACTACTTGCTTCTTAATGAATTCTTCCCTTAATCTTACATCTAAAAGTGATCTCCTTCCATTCAACAAAAACTACCCCACCCCACCCTGGGAAAACTAGAACAGTTTGGAAAAAATTAGGTTAAGACTAATATCTTACACCATATATCACAATAAGCTCCAAAAATATATATGACTTAGATAAAAAAGTTCAAATCAGAAAAAAAAAAATTTAGTGTGTTGGCTTCCCCTTCATTCCTTCTTTTTTCTGTTATTTCCTTGAGGGTCTTGATCTTTATTCCTCCAAACAAATTTTATTATAAAATTACTGCTGCAGTCTCATTAACATAGCCCTAAACTAATTTAGAGATAATATCAACATTTTAATTGCATTGATGCATCCCAACCATATATAAATGAGTTTCCATTTATTTAATTCTTTATTTCTGTAAAAAAAATTTACGCTTGTATTTATATGTCTTGATTATGTCCTAGCAGGTTAACACCTAAATATTTTGGCAATTTTAAATGATGTTTTTCTCTTTTTCTCCTTGGTTTTATTAGTGATATTTACATGCCTGTTCCCTATTCCACCCAGATCCTGTTTTCTTTCAAGTCTCAACTCCAATCTCATCTTTTCCTGGGGGTAGGGGTGGGTCTTTTCTCTTCTGCCCACCCCACCCCGACCTTAAAAGCTAGTGCCGTCCTTATGAGATGACCTTCCATTTACACTGTGTGTATATTTCTAAATGTGTGTGTATGCGTGTGTATGTACACACATATATCTACACGTTTGTATAGCTATAGCTTTCCATGTATACGTGTGTATGTGTATATATATATATACACACACACACACATCTTGGATGTACATAATTAATTTGCATGTGGTTTCACCCCTTGAATATGAGCTCCTTGAGGACAAAGTTTATGCTTTGCCTTTCTGTGTATCCCCAGTACATAGCCCTGCGCCTAGCATAAACATAGTAAACATTTAATGAGTGGTTGACTGAAATACAGAAATGCTGATGGTTTCTTTGGGATTAATTCATATGCTGCTACTTTACTGACACTATTGTTTCAATTAAATGTTTTATAAAATGCATAGGATTTTCTAAATAAACCATCATATCATCTGCAAATAGAAATAATTTTGCCCCTCATATTTCTATGTGTACTTCCTCAATTTTGCTTATTTTCTCATTGTGATAACTAGCATTTTTACCAAAAATTAGTGGAGGTAATAGACATACTTGCTTTACCTCAGATCTCACTAGATTACTTGCAAATAATGCTAGCTCTTGGTTTCAGAGAGGGAGTTTTGATCATATGACTGAAATCTTCTTATTCCTGTGCTTTTCAGTGGTTCTAACATAAAAACTGTCTTTTATCAAGGAGAGGAAGTATGATAGAGTGGCCTGGGAGCCAGCCTTGCAGCCAAAATGTCTGGGTACAAGTCCCATTTTTGAATCTCACTGGCCAGGTGATCCTTGACAAGACGCTTCACCTCTCAGCACCACAGGAAATTTCCTAAGGCAATAAGCTGAAGAAAAAGGGATGACTTGAACTGGTTGAAGGAGTTTCCTTACCTGGAAGTTTTTCATACAAATGAAATCATAGGTCCATGATGAGGAAGCAAGCTACACGTCTCCTGACAGGTGATGGACAGAATGAGACACATTTTTGGACATGGCCAAAGTGGGAAATCTGTTTTGCTTTATTATGCATATTTTTTATATATTTAAGAGGGGAAGGGGAAAGAGATTAAAGCATTTTTTAAATGCACAGAAGAGAAGGAAGGCCAGAAAGAATCACAAACAAGAAAGACAGCTTTTAAAGTCATATGTTGGACTCATGATATATTTAAAAAGAAAAGCAAGCTACATATATAATAGAGATTTGCAGTTTCATGTACTACTTTTGCTGTTCTACAATATATTAAAATGCTCATTTTACTTTACTAAATTTCAAAATTTTAAAAAAATTCTAAAAAATCCCCATACCTGACCAGTCTCTATCCTTCTACATTTGTTAATTTTCCATTCTCATTTTTTTATTTTGGTAATTTGGTTTTCCTTTCTCTCTTTTTGGAGAGATCAAATTACCTAATCATTTACCTATTTTATTCTTTTCCCCTCAAAATATCCTTGGGCTTAAAAAATTATTTAAATAGTCCTCCAGTTTTTAATTGTATATATTTGATTTTCAGGATTTCTACTCTTTTGCAAGTTTGAGAACTACTGGTTTATGGCATGTAGTCATAACATAAGTCACTGTCTTTTTGAAAGTTTCAAAACTGTCTATGCATTGTTCTTCTACCCACTCATTATTTAGAATTACATTATTCAATCTCCATTGACATCTCAGTCTTTTGAGTTCATATATCCCTTACTGACTGTAATTATCAGTTTTTTCAATTTTGTCTTTTCTCAACTCTGGACCTTCTTGACTTATCCTGCTGCCTTTTTTTTTTTTTTTTTTGGTCTTTTCTCAATTCTAATTCTTCTTAAACTATCTGATGCATTTGATGCTACTAACCACTCTCTCCTCCTGGTTTCTTACTCTCATTTCTGTGTTTTCATGACATTATTCTTTCCTGGTTCACCTGCTACCTATCTTATGGCTCCTTTGCTGGTTCATCTAATCGGTCTCTCTATATTGTCTCTTCCTTTTCCTGCTCCAGTCTATCTTAACACACTGCTACTCAACCCACCTCAAAGCCCCCAGCATTCTCACACTGTACCTTCAACCATATCTTCTACCCATGTCTCATCCTCTTCCTATTTTGTGTTCTTTTCCTAGGGTAGTGCTAAATAAATGACTTATTAATAATATAATTTTACAACTGATGAATAAGTGATAACTATAACATAATTAATGACAAAGTGATTTTCCTTAAATGTAAATATGCCCATGTGACTTCTCTACTCATCCAACTCAAGAAGCTTCCTATTGCCTCTTCGATAAAACTTTAATACCTCTATTTAGCTTTTAAAGCCCTAACCTACCTTTCAAGCCTCACTAAATGTTACTCCACTTCATGCACACTGTGATAAAATCAAATTGGCCCTCTCAGTAACCTCATTTTCTTGTACACAACTGTTCGTCTGCCATCTCCAGGCCTTTGTATTGGCCACCTTCATGTGCCAGGAATGCATTTGCAGCTTACTTCTGCCTTTTAGAATCACTTTCTTCCTTTAAGGTGCAACTCAAGCACTATCTTCTACATGACGCCTTTCCTGATGAATTCAGCCACTAGAGCCCTCCCTTCCAAACTGTCTTGTGATTAATTTGTATTATATAGATATAGGTGTAGATAGATATAGATATAAGCTTTATATTTATGCTATATATGTTTTTATATGTATAGAGATATAGATATATAAACTTTCTATTTGTGCTGTATGTATTTTTATATGTACTTGTTATCTCCCCCATTAGAATATACAATGCAGTGTGGAGTGAGGTGGGAAGGAAACCCAAAGAGAGAAGAAAAGCACTAAGAAGGAAATATTTTATAAACCACAAAATATCATATGTAATGTGAGTTGTTATTTTTTCTATTTCTAAAACAGTAATAGTCTTAGAACTAAAGTTAAAGTAATAGTTTTACTAAAAATAATTTTTTTTACCTCAAAGAATTGTTCTCTGCTTTTTGTCTGCCAAGTTCACTCTCTGTATCCATCGCCTTTCGCGCTAGTGCTTTCATCTCCTTTTCCACAGTGGTTATGGTTTCTTTCATCAAAGTCATATTCGCCATTTGTTCTAGACGTTCGTCATCAAGCTACACAAGTAAAACAACAAGGCTGGTAGTCACTGGAACCTGTCTCCCTCCTTCTTTCAAACAGGGCACACATCTCCTTTCCAAAATGCAGTTTTAGGCCTGGTCTATATGATGAATAAACCAAACTGGGATTGAACACTTTTGGTGGTCCATTCTCTCAGTCAGTCTTTAAGCCAAACAAGTAGAGGAACTAGTATGTCCTCATACCTACTGTACAGCTCAGCAATAAAGACTTTTTTTGTGGTTTGAGTCAGACCACATTTTCAATCCACAATTTAACATGGTCACAACATTAATTTCATGGTTTTTCTGGCCAGTAGCCTAAAACTTTCCCAGCAAAAATCCCTCACATATAAAAGAAATATGCAATCTACAGAGCTTTCACGGTTTTTTTTTCCTCTTTTGCGGTCATAAAAGGATACAACTAATAAGAACGCAAACATGATTAAGTAAACTTGTTGTAAGTTAAGTCAAATTCCTGTTAATTTCTTTTATGCATTCTCAGCATATAAGTGACTAGTATTCATATACAGAAAATCTAATAAATCTGAATCTTCATCAATAAGTTAAATTTAGTGCTTTCTCAAATTTCCCAAATTGCTTGCCTAATTTATTGTAAAAGAAGACAAAGCATTTTTCTCTTCTATAGAAAAGTAGAGAGAAGTAGTAACACTCAATAACAAAAATTGAAAAATGCAAATCATTAAAATCAGTAGAAATACATTACTGAGGATAATGGATGCTGAGATCTACACTTTTCACCTTAACTTGGTAGAAACACAAAGGATAAATAATACTTTTATCTTAGAATGTCCTTTATCCCTGATATAAAAATTGCTACTTTTTTGGACACATAAAGATTAAACAAGCCATTATTTAATTTTAAAAATTAGTTATAGATAAAATCAAATTTATTTTACACTGTGTACTGTAGACTCCAACTCCTCTACTCTTTGTTCCAGGTGAGCCTTCTCATTAAATGCAGTCTCTTGGGAAATCTGTTTCAAATACAAAAACAGAGTGCCTTCAGTTTTGTTGCATCTGTGCTGCATTGACATTAGTGTAAGTAAAATGTCTTTCTAACCTTTAACCTCTCCCTCAGACTATCTCGTTCCGTGGTCATTCTTCGTAAGTCAGTGAAGGCCACATCTCTTTCTGTTTCTACCCGTCGTAAGATTGCATGTGCTGTTGATGTTGATTTAGGAGACTTGCAATTTTTCATCATTTCTCGTCTCAGTCTAGCTATTTCTTCTTGTGCCTATTATTTTTAAACATACAAGTATAAATCTGTTTTAATGAGCTTAAAGGAACATTAGAATTGCTACTCTGCCAGTCAACTACGTAAGTGGAAGCCTTTTGCTAAAGTGTGAGACAATTAAATTTTATGTTTTTTAACAACTTGTTTATACAAATTTTAATTACACAAATCAAGATTAAGGGCAACACAAAATGCAAAATATAAATTATAGGTATTTTCAATTGTTCTTTCCTCAAGTGCACGCGCACTCACGTACGTGTGTGTGTGTGTGTGTGTGTGTGTGTTTCAACCCCTTGTCCAGTTCAGATAAGAGGTTCACCTGATCCATGGTTCTCCCACATATTTAATATACATATTATACTCTTCTTCTCATATACCCCAACAGTAAGAAATAGCAAGTTCCACCCCATTCTTTCTCCTTTATATACTAGTAGGTTCCCCCTCCTTTCACCTCTTAAAATCCTGAGACCATAATCCATCTACCCCAAATCCTCTTTCTTACTTAACACTCAGAATATCTTTACAAATCATTAAAGTCTGTTTCTCCTTCCTCCTCCATGAGAATTGTTAGTACTTCATCATTTTACATATCCTCCCCCAAATGTTCAAATAAATTTACCTTTCTAGGTTTCTCTTGACTCCTAAAAGTTTCTATTCAGCTCTGCTCTTTTCATCAGAAATGCTTGAAAGATCTCCAGTTCATTTAAGGTTCATTTTTTCTCCCCTGCAGGATTATACTCAGTTTTTCAAGGTAAATTACTCTTGGTTGTCAACCTATATATTTTGCCTATTGGAATATTAGATTCCAGATTCTCCTCACATTTGGGTAGGGACCTTGGAAACCCCCTGGACTTTGCTAGATCTTCTGTGATCCTGACTCTGCTTACTCACGAACTCCTTCTTTCTGCCTGCTTGCAGTATTTTTCCTTTGATGTAGAAGATCCAAATTTTGGTCAAGATGTTTCTGGGACTTTTCCTTTTTAGAGTTCCTTTTGGGAGGTGATAGGTAGGTTTTTTTTTTCTATTTTCACTTTACTTTCTGGTTCTAATAGATCAAATGAGGCAGCTGGTAGCACAGTGGATAGAGTGCCTAAATCTGTTCTCAAACACTTATTAGAGTGTGACTGTGGGCAGTCACCTTGCCTCTGCCTATCTCAATTTCCTTAACTGTAAAATGGGGTTGAAGTAGCACCTACCTTTCCCAGGGCTGTTGTGAAGATCAAATGAGATAATAATTTTAAAGTGCTTAGCATAGTGCCTGGCACACAGTAAGCAGTATAGAAATGTGAGCTATAATAATTATTATTTATAGATTTGTTTATAATCTACTGAAATAATGTCTAGGCTTTTTTTTTTTTTAGTTTTCAACATTCACTTTTATAAAATTTTGAGTTCTAAATCTTCTCCCTCTCCCTCTAGGCTTTTTTAAAATAATGGTTTTCAAGCAGTCAGGTGATTTCAAAATTATCTCTTTGACCTGTTTTCCATATCAATTGTTTTTTTTTTATAAACAGATATCTTATATTTTCTTCTATTTTTCCAATAATTTGATTTTGTACTAATGTTTCTTGCTGCAACATGAAAGGGCAGGGGGCAGAAAGAGGAAAGAATAAGCATTTATTAAGTGCTTATTATGTGCCAGGCACTGTATTAAGTGATTTACAAATATTTATAAATAATATCTCATTTGATCTTCATGACAACACTGTGAGCAACACTGAAAGGTAGGTGCTATTATTTTCCCCTTTTTACAATTGAAGAAACTGAAACAGAAGCAAAGTAACTTGCTCAAGGTCACTCAGCTAGTTGATTCTGAGGCCAAATTCAAACTCTAGACCCAGGGCTCTTATCTACTGTGCAACATAGCTACCACTAATTATTGTCATGGAGACACTGATTTCTCTTTGGTGTATTCTAATTTTCAAGGGGTCCATTTACTTGGATAATATTCAGCATTTCCTGTTCTAAGCTATTTATTCATCTAACAATTCTTCCCTCCAGAGCTTTTATTTCATTTTTTAAAATCTCTTCATTTTTTTTCTAAGTACTCATATAATTCTTACAGGAAATTCAACTTTTTTGAGTCTTTTTTACAGTTGCTATGGCATTACTTTCTCCTTCTAGGTTAATTTTTTGGGCATTGCTAGATCTACAATAAATTTTTTTTATACCAGTCAAGAACTTCTTCAGTTTATTTATCTGTTTTTCCTTAGCTCCTTAAATGTGACTTTCTGTGAAGGCCAGGCTCAGATGCAGGCATTGGGCTCCTTCTCCCCCTTGCTATTCCCTCTGCCCCCAATCTTTGAGTTTCAGAACACGGGGGATCTTGGAGTCCTGAGGTGTCTCAGCTGGAGCACTATCACACCTGCCCTGCTCATTTCTACTCCAGGTGGTTTCCAAGGTCCCTACCCTAAACCCTTCTGAACATCCTGGAGCTTTTTCAAGGGAGTCTTCTGTTCTTGCTGCATCTGAACACAGAGCCCTTCTGGCTACATATGCCTGTGGCTGGTCTCTGGTCACACTGCTAGTTTGTGTGCCTGTTCCTGGCTTGGCTTGGCTGGTGGCCTCTTTTCTTATTCCTAGGGAGCTGGCTGACTTTTTGTGTGGTTTATAGTAGAAGAAGAAATTTACTATGATTTCCTACTGGATTTCTTGATCATTATCCAATCTGGGAGCAATTCTTAGACTTTTGCTAGATTTAGTATGGGAGAGCTAATCTACCTGCCTCTACTTGGGCAGCCATCTTGGACAGGTGTCAGTCAATTCTCATATGGAGTGGACATCATCCTGGTTGCCACCATCTCTAGCTTATCAAAGTACTTCGTAAAATGTGGAGCTCAGGTTTTAAAACATTACACCAGATGTGGTCTGACCAGGACAAAGTTCACTGAGACTATATTTTCCCTATTCCTAAATGCTATATTTCTCTCAACGTAGCATAAGACTGAATTCATTTTCTTGGCAACACACTTTTGACTCATATTGAATTCATAGTCCACTAAAATTTTCAGATCATTTTCAAACAACCTTTCAGACAAAGCCATGCCTTTCTCACCTTGTATTTAGCTTTGAAAAATCAACTCATAAATATATGCTTTTATATTTATCCTTATGAAATTTCATTTTATTCTATTTGGTCCAATGTTTTAGCTTTTTAATATCTTTTTGAATCCTGACTCTGTCATCAAGTATACATCTGAAAATTTGATAAGCAGAACATCTATAAGTATGCAAGTCATTGACAAAAACGTTAAAACAGCACAAGCCAAGCACAGATCTTCTTAGCATTTCCCTGCACAGATCTTCTGAGCATTTCCCTGAAGACCTCTTTCTAACCTAACATCAATCCATTAAGGACTACTGTTTAGGTCTAGCCATTCAGTAAATTTCAAATTGCCTAACCATATTATCATTTATTTCTATCTCTCCATTTTTTCACACAAAATCAGCACAACACACTGTAAAATGTTTTACTAAAAATCTAAGTAAATCATATCCACAGTACTCCTCTGATAGATTCATCTAGTAACCCTATCAAAAAAAGAATCAAAGTTAGAGCAGTATGACTTGTTCTTGACAAAGCAATTCCAGCTTTTTGTGCTTACTGCTTTCATTTCTGTTACTGGTTCCTATTCTAATTCCTAGGGCGGGTTCCTAACCATCCCTTTAGTAATCCATTCTAGAATTTCCCCAGGAATTTAAATACAGCTCACTGGCCTATAGTTTGCAGACTCCATTCTCTTTTGCTTTTTGGAAAAGTGGCACAATTGCTTTTCTCCTTTCTGGCAGCATCTCCAGTTTTCTTTGAAATGGTCATTCAAAGATCATTGACAGCAGCTTAGCGATCACATATCCCCCATTCTTTCCATACTCAATTTACCTGTACTTTGGTTGCCTGGATTCATCAAGGGCCACTAGGTACTTTCTTATTTCTTCCCTAATTATCTTGGGTGTCAACTCATTATGATCCATAGTTGCTTCCTTTTTATTCCAAAGATCAGTGTGCAGAGAAAACGGTATGAAAATAAGATTTTAAGAGCCATGACTTCTCTTTTTCATTAGTCTTATAGGCCTATCCCACCTAAGGAACAGTCCTCTTCCTTCTTTGATATTTTATTCAATATAGCAAAAGAAATTCAAATTTATTTTGTTTGTAGATTTCCTCACCAGCCTTAGCTAATTCTTAGGGTTGGCACTGTGCTTTGATTTTATGAGAAACGGGAGTTAACAAAAAAGGCCATATTCTTTTTTCTGATCTTGCTTCCATTTTCTGGGTGTGTCTTTTAAAAATCTATGTGGATTGGGGAATTCCTTGATAATTCACATCAGTCTTTTAAAATTAACTCTCCTTGAGGCAGCTAGGTGGCACAGTGGATAAAGCACTGGCCCTGAAGTCAGGACGACCTGAGTTCAAATCCAGGCTCAGACACATAACACTTACTAGCTGTGTGACTCTGGGCAAGTCACTCAACCCCAATTGCCTCACCAAAAAAAAAAAAGAAAAAGAATTAAAATTAACTCTCCTTTTTCAAAAGATCACAGATTTAGATCTAGAAGGAACCTGAGAAGATTGTGACTCCAGCCCCCTCATTTTACAGATGTGGAAACAGGCTCAGAGAGGCTAAGAGGCTTGCCCATAGTCACACAGTTATAAGTGTCTGAGGGAAGATCTGAACTCATGAATTTCTGATTCCAAATACAGCAATTTGTACATTCCCCCACCTAAATGCTTCTCCCTCCTCCTCAATGTTTTCATTTCGTCTTCAGAATTTTGCTCACCATTACTGAACCAGCTTTTCTTAAAGAATTTTGGTCTATAAGAACCTCCCCATCCTTCTCTGATCCCTTTACAATCTGCTCTTCCAAAATCTACAGTGCACCTAGTCTCTGCTGTCTTTTCCTCCGATAAGAATTCTAAGATAGAATAGTCACACTCCTCTAAGGTTTCATCCTTTCCACCCCAGCAACTATCACCTCCTGGTTGGTGAGAATCCCACCTACAATTATATTTCCCCTTGTTAGGTCATACATCTTTTGAAGGATGAAACTGTTAATAAAGACAAGTCAAAAACGCATATACTATTCTGCTTTTGGCATAGAGAGATTCAGTAAAAGTCCAAATAAGTATGTATGTCTTCATCATGACTATATCATGCCAAATTTTTTATCTTTTCCTAAAACTCTTCATCTACCTCCTCTTTCTGTCCAGGTAGTCTCTAGAAGACTTTGATGATTATAATTTCTCTACTTTCACTGATTTTCATCCAAATGCTCCTAGCATGTTTTCTCCCTCTGTTTCCTAGATTTCTTCACATAAGTAAATTGTCTTAATATATAATGCTATCCCATAACCCACCTTATCTAATTCTGTCATGGTTCTCATCCTACTAAGCTCTTCAATGGTATCTGTTGAGTGAAATTTTCCTACGTTAGGATCTTAAACATTCATCTTGCCTGCTGACGATATATGCACACAGATCTCTAAAGCTATGTGTTTTATTATCAAGTCCTTTCTTGGACTTTGATTTTTGTGAAATTTTGTGTGTCTCAAAGCTCTCTTCTTCCTACATTAAAGCTCCTCTCTAGGGTATCAGTAAGGTATCTTGGTGCATATATGTATAGTTTTCTTCTACCCTTTTCCTTTTATTTAAAGCCTTTCAGTCAGATTTAAAGAGTTCAGGCAAATGCATTCTTTTTTTTTTTTTTTTTTTTTTTTGGTGAGGCAACTGGGGTTAAGTGACTTGGCCAGGGTCACACAGCTAGTAGGTGTCAAGTGTTTGAGGCCGGATTTGAACTCAGGTGCTCCTGACTCCAAGGCCAGAGCTCTAGCCACTGCGCCACCTAGCTGCCCCTGGCAAATGCATTCTTATGAGCCCTTATGCAACCAATCACCAAGTATTTATTAAGCACCTAATATCTGCCAGCATTATGCTATGTGCTACAAATACAAGTACAAAAAATGGAATGATCCCTGCTTGTACTGAGCTTACAGTCTAATAGGGAAACAAACATACATAAAAACACACACAGCATAAATATATGCTTGTATACATACATACACACATAAAGTAGTTAAATACTTCTGAGAGGGAAGACACTAGCACAGTTAGGAGGGTCAGGAACGGCTTCAGGCAGAAGAGGGTGAGCTGTGTCTTAAAGGAATAAGCCTACTAAGCAATGATATGGGAGTTTACAAAGTAATTATTTGTCCTTAAAGGTGTTTCAGAACTTTGCTATTTCACAGAATCTGAGATTTCTACCCTTTGCTAACCCAGGTCCATCACTGTAAAGCACCCACTATCCTTTGCTAATATGATATGCTCTTGTGTATAAAAAACACCTCCTACTCCAAATAACAGAATAAAAAAAATAAGATTTATTAAGAAAATCTTATAGAACATTTGCAATGTCTCATTAGTTTAATGGCTTTAGAAAGCACATGTTTAGAATTTAGTGGGAAAAAGATACACCTTTCATAGCTGGATAAATTACTCCTCAGATCTTTTGCTCACCTACAAATAAAATTACCTGTTCATAAAGAAGAAAGGTCTTGTCTCTTTCAGATGTGAGAACCTTGACATTACCCTGAATTTCAGCCAAGTGACGTTCATATTTGTCCAACATACATCTAAGTTCCTCACGATCTCTTGTCTTCAAAAGCTCTGAATCACAATTTGCTCCCTAAAATCATGACAGAAATTTTATAGATCTTGACACTTAGGGTTTTGAAATAACTATATTCCTCTCCTTACTCTGCTTTCAAATATCCATAGTCTTCTCTCTAATAGAAAAACTACACTTTGACTGTACTGCCTTCACTGGCTATCCTTCCTTAGCTTTCCTCTCACAATCAAGCTTTTTAAACAAGTTTTAAAGTTTGTAAAGTACTTTCCTCCCAACAGCTCTCTCAAGCAGGCAATGAAATTATCATCATTATCCTCATTTCATAGTTAAAGAAACAGGCTGTGAGAGTTGGAGTGACTTACCAGGAAAAAACACAGCTGTTAAGTGTCTGAGGAGGGATTTAAATCTAAGACACTGCTAATTACAAATCCAGTACTTCTTCCACTAATAATTATGGGAGTATGTAAGCTCAATTTAAATATACATACTTGTACTTAGTAAGCAAGTGAAATTAATGTAGTTACCCCTAAAAAATCCAACCTTTTTTAAAAAATTATTTTCTCAAATTGTTCCCATTCTTCTAATTGATTTTTGCCCAACCAGTTTGCATACTTTCACAAAGCATGATACATCTGCTCTTCTGTATATACTCCACAGTCAAGGGTATCTGTATGACTCAGCCACCAACCACTTATTGCTGAATCAAAATGAAAGGCCAAAGAAGATATTTTGTTTGCATTATAAATTAATATATCACAAGATACCATGTGTACCCTGGGAGGTGGAGAAGTGCGTCGAGGACTTTTAGATCTACTTCGAATCATCTTTCCCAAATTTTCAGCTTCACTCTTATGATGAGTTGTCTGCTCCTAAAGTCTTGACAAAAGAATCAAATCTAGAAAAAGATTTAATTTAACCCTTTTTCAGTCTAAAATTATCTTGCCAAGGAGGAAAAAATTAAGTAGCTTACTGCAAGCCAAACAAAACTAGTATTTTTAAAATAGGATGAAAATTGACAATCGCTCAATCATTAAAATCAAATTTGAAAAAATAAAATAAAATAAAATTTGATTATAGATTAAAATCTGGAATTACATAATTTCTAATGCATTTCTTTTTTAAATAAGTTTTTATTGATGTCTTTTGTTTCTTACATCATCACAATTATCTCCAATATCTCTCTCCTGACCCAAGAGCCATACTAAATCTATTTCATTTCTGATTTACTGACAAGGCTTCCTCTTCCTGGTATTTATAAAGGTTCCATTTGTAGTTTACCTTTTGTTTTAATTTATTGCTTTTTCCTTGTGAACTCAATTAATTTTGAAGGAAAGAAGGGTAAAAGGTTTAAGTTGACTAGAAATGTCTTCTTAATTTCAATAGGTTTAGAAATAGTCATATAAATGGGCATTGCTTATTTTAGTGGCTCTGTATGTTGCTAGTCTATCACTTAATATGACTAAATATTTGTATCCTGGCATAATTCTCAGTGTTAGAATTTCATTCCTATGAACTCCTATCCTTTTAGATCAATCTGAAGATATTCCTTTTACAAATTCTTTTTTTAACTAACATTTTTGCAGATATGAATAATAGCAAAACAAGGTATTTTAGATAAATTGAGTGTTTTGTGCTCGTAAAGTTTATTTTAACTCCAAAGCTTAAAAAAAAAGATTTATCTAAGATAATTATTGATACAATATCTTTCTGTGGATAAGAAGAATTCAAGCTATTTCAATGAAAAGTCAACTAACTTAATACTGCTGGCTTTAAAAAAAAAAACCCACTAAACATTAAGTGGTTTATGAAAAGCCAAATACAAATTTTGAGAACACTCTCATTAATAATGATTCAAACCCAAATAGCATGATAAGGCTTCATAAACTGATCAACTGATAAATTATTCTTGATCTTTCAGGATGAGGACAAGCAAAGGGGAAATCTAGCAATCAAGTTCCACTTCTGCATACTAGGGTATTCTTTTACTGGAGAGCTGATGGTTAAAAGAGGCAGCTTTCTATACATCTGAAGTTTTATCTGGCATGAGGATCCAATCATGGAGACAAAAAGTCAAATGGACTGTATGCTAATATTTTTTCCTCTGTATTCCTAACAATTCCACAAAAAGTAGCTTTTTTTTTTTTGGCTAGGCAATCGGGGTTAAGTGACTTGCCCAAGGTCACACAGCTAAAAAAGTACCTTCTTAAAATAATTAGGATATATTCAAGTTCTTAAAACTATATTAAAATACATACTTACATACATAATACATACATACATATATAAAACTATATTAAAATACATACTTACATATCTAAGACTTTATTGTATCTTCTAGTACTATAATATTATTTTGCTGACATCTAAGTTCAGTCTGGAAAACAAACCAAAAATAGCATGTGTAAGCATATAATTAATACCTAAAATCTATGTTCCTGATTTTCAAAGTTAATAGTAACTTTCATGGTTGTTAAACTGGAAAAACAGCACTGGACAAAGGGAATCCATTAAAAAAAACAAAACATGGAATTCAGAAGCATTGGAATTGGGGCATAAAAGACCAGGTCATTCTGGTAATTTTGCCTTCAGTTACAGATATTTCTGTGATACAATAATACCAAGACAAGTGACATTTTCACAAGCAAATCATACTAATTTCATCTCAAGAAGAAACAGGACTAATAAAAAGAAGAAGAAAGACTTCCTTGCTTACAACAGATGAGAGTTAATCCCTCATTTTCAACATTCATTGCATTGTGTTTGTGCCATTTATAGAATATATGACAGATTTCATTATAGATATTTGGGGGGGGCAGCTAGGTGGCCCAAAGAACTAGCATCTAGTATAGCTCCTTGAATAAAGAATTACTTTTAAATTATTTTTAAAGACTTGTGATTTCACTTGTATGAGTACCCCCTCCAGCAATATACAGATGAGATCACAATGCCACCATGCCCTAGTCTTCATGAGCTGTAGCAGCTAAATAAGTTTATCATATGAACTTTATAAACTTCTATTAATGAACCTTTCTGAATAAGTAGGCTGGTGTTCAGATGACAGATGAAGTCTGTTGCTAGGCCCAATTCATAGCCTTTCAGCTTGGTAATTTTTCTGCCCTATTCCCATTACCTTCAAGAAGCCAGCATCACCTCCCTGCTATGATGAAGTATCAGAGCACAACTTTAGCAGTTAAAATACTTACTACAAAGCTTGTTGAGGGCATAGACTATTTCATTTTGGTTTTTATATCTCTAGTGCTTGGCATAAGAAGGTGCTTAATAAATGCTGGTTGATTGATTAATAAAAAATACTACTTAAAAATATAAAAAAACTACTTAAATACATAAAATGCTTACTACTTAAAAACAAAATAAAATTATTTGCTGATAGATGTAATTGTCCAAAAAAGTGAGAGGAATGGCAATGCCCATAACAATAAAAACACTGAAGAGAAGCAAAATAGTTCAAAAACAACACATGAAACTTAAAACTTACCCCAAAAGAGCCTTGATATAATAAAGAACATGGAGCAGCTATATCCAGGCCAAAACAAAGAAAATAGTCTTCTGCTTCTTCCAATTTCAAATAACTAAGTTAAAGTTTAAAAGATCCAAAAATGAAGAATGGGGAAAAAAATGCAGAAGCACCTCAAAGTGAAGGTAAAACATAGAAAAGAATTCAAAGGGTTAAAAGAAGAAAACGAAGGAAAATTATTTTTTTCTTTTAAAAATGGTCTAATGAATAAACTCTCTTCTTTCGATAAATCTCACACTGTGACATTTTTGCCTAAAAGTGAGATAGTATCTTGAGATCAAATATTCTTTCCATTCACCCTTGAATACAAATCCCAAATAGCTTCAAATCCTGTTCACTTTCTTTTTAGCTCAAGATAGCCTCTTTCATTTGAGAAATTCTTGTGCTAAAACCATACTCACAGGATTTCAAGAGTTCACACCTGTGGTCTGCCTGGTCACAATAAGGTTAAAGTATACAAAGACTCCATAATATATACCTAGTTCTTTGAATCTTGATATAGCCCAACTCAGCACACAGTTCTTCAAGTCCTGTATCCAGTCTAACATTTCTTTCTGGGGCAAGTGTTTCTTGGGACAACCCATGCTTTCACTAACATTACTCTCCTAAACTAGAAGTACTTTCCTCACTGGGTCCTATATGCCAATTATCATCATCCCTACTATTTATTGTAGGCCAGTATTGTCAAACTCAAACAGAAAAGGGAGCCACATTGTACATAAATCAGCCATTTTGTATGCTTCGCTTCCTAAAATGCACTACCACTTTCAAAACCTATTCCAGGGTATTTCCTCTAAAATATATTCCCCCATTCTAACACTGTTCCATCATGTCCTTTCAAACATTAGACAACTTTTTTCTGAATAGGACACACCCTCCCTTGGAATACTGCCTACTGAAGTATTTTTCTTACATATAGTCTCTCTTCCTGATGCTTTATCACATTTCAATTAGTTGCTGCTTTTCATAAAGAATGAAAATTTATAGAGTTTACACTGTAAAATCTTATTTAATTATGACTCCACAATTCATTTATAAAGAATTGAGCCCAAGGCCTGAATCATCAATTCACCTGTTATCACTTTCAAATGAATGTCCCACAGACATCTCAAACTTAACATATCCACAACAGAGGTATTTATCTTTTCCTCAAAACCTAGCTTCTGAACTTCCCTATTTCTGTTAAGGGCACCACCATCTTCCTGGTCAACCTGGTTTATAGCCTCAGTGTCATCTCTGACTGCCTACTCTCACTCATTCCATATATTTAAATAGTTTCTGCCTGCACAACACTTTTCAAATATCTCCTCTTATCACCATTCACATAGCCCTCATCACCTCTCATCCAGAATATTACAACTTTGTCATTGGTCTCCCTGTCTCATGTCTCTCCTTACTCCAATCAATTCCCTACACAGTCACTAAACTTTATTTTCTTAAGTTACAGGTCTGACCATGTCACCCCACCCCATCTCTACCCCACTTCAATTGCTCCTTCTTATTTCCAGAATCAAATACAAACTTATCTATTTGACATTAAAGGTCTTCAAGCCTCATCCTACCTTTCCAAGTTTATTATACATTATTCCCCTTCGTGCACACATGAATGCACACACACGCACGCACGCGCGTGCACACACACACACACATACACACACACAAGTTCAGCTAAATTGGCTTTCTTGCTCTCCTTCACAGGGCATTCAATCTCCTGTTTCTGGGTCTCTGAACTGGCTCTCCCCCATTCCTAAATGTGCCCCTTCACATCCATCTCTTAAAACCCCAGGTTTCCTTCAAAACTCAGCTCTGTCATCTTCTGCATGACATCTTTCTTGTTTTGCCCAGCTTCTAGTGCCTTCCCTTCAAGGTACCTTGTGTCTGCTCTGAAGATATATACATATGCACACTGTCTCCCCCATTAGGATATAAACTCTTTGAGGGCTGTTAACTGTTTCCCCTCCTGTATCCAACACCTAGCACCAAATCTGGCGTACAATTAGGTACTTAATCAAAACTTCTTGATTAAAATATATTGTATTGAAAGTTACCATTTATACTATATATATGAAAATTTATAGCTTCAAAAAAAATAACCTTATAGGAAGAATTTTTAAACTATTAAGCTACTTTTAGGTACCCTTAACATTTTAGAAAATGTCTCATGTAAATAACTGATATGCTGATTACAAATAATTCTTATGTCTTCATTAAAGCAATTCCCCTAGAGATCTAATTCTTCTAGTATAGTTTGAGTTACTATATGTATTTCAAAATACTACCATTATTTTCTTTAGATATCCTATAATTCAGACTTTTCAATCATTCAGACTGGTTTATGCTTAATCCAAATCAGTGATGTTTTATTGAAATCCATCAATTGGCTAATATATAACAACAAATGGCCACCAAAAAAAACCCCCAAAAATCTATGTTTATGTTGACTTTGTCCTCAGGCCATTTACTGATTTCACCACTTTGTTAAAATGCATAGAGTGCTATAACAAATAATATCTCTACTAACAATTAATAATTTTTTTCATAGATACACTCAACTAATATAGAGATTCATTACAGCAAGGGAAGAATATTCAGCAAGTTAAAATTTATCCCTTGTTTTCTATTTTTTTAATGATAATGTCCTTTTAATTATAAGCTATTAGTGACTATATATAAATGAAACTGATTTTGTTTTAAAAGTGCATTTGGGGGCACCCAGGTGGTACAGTAGACAGAGCACTAGCCCTGAAGTCAGGAGGACCTGAGTTCAAATCCAGCCTCAGACACATAACACTTACTAGCTGTGTGACTCTGGGCAAGTCACCCAATTGCCTCACCAAAAAAAAAAAAAAAATTATGAACAAAAAGTGCATTTGAATTTTCAATAAATACATTTCATACATAGTGGGATCAAGGAATAAAAATGTGACTTAAAAACAACATTTAGCCTTTGGAATTAAAGTTTAAACATAACGGCAATCTGAAATTTTAAAAGTGATAATAATGATGGCCTCTGTCAACAGGCAATCAGAACTTCACAAAACTTGTGTAAAAACTAGGTTTATTACAAGAGAAATGAATATGCATGTGGAATCCAAAGAATTCACAATCCATGCAGAAGTCTGAATATTTATGACAGCAGGACAAATGAAGGAGATACCAGAATCTCCACCTAAAGGGGCATTACATGGGAGGAGAAAGGTGCACTAAACGTAGGAAAAGGACAAAACCCCACCCAAAGGGGAAGACAGCAAAAGCCACATTCTTTTCCCTTGGAAACTGCTAGACCATGAAGATATAACGGTCTCCTTATCTACCCACGTCTGCACAAACCTAGTTGCAGACTGTCTGGCGCCTGTCTTGACTCCCAAGGACCCAAACAGAGTCCAGTTTGGGATGCAAACAACAAATTCTGTCTGCGGGAGGGGACAAGGCAGGGGCCTTCATTCTTGACACATTCAGGGCTTGCTGCATGCTCTGGGTCCAGTTTTTCTATAAAATATGGCAACTCAAAAAGACAAGTTCAGGGGACCCCTTAACAGTCCTTAACACCTCCTTGTTCAAGTCTCTCCGCTAAAACACAGGCCTGACCATGTCACCTCACCTACTCAAACTACTGCAGTTCCCTATTGCCGCCAATCCAATGCAAACTGTTTGGCATTCAAAATCCTTCACAACCTGTCTCTACCCTACTTTTTTGGATATCATTATACACTATTACCCATCATGCTCTCTTTACTGCAGCCAAATTGGTTGCCTTGCTATTCCACACCCTCTCTAACTCCTGTCCATCTCTCCGTCTTTGCACCCAGCCCACATCCCCCATTCCTGAAATGCATACTCCCTCTTCACCTATACCTCTGTAAACTCCAATTTTCTTTAAAGCTCAAAATCCTCCTACACAAGGCCTTTCTTGATTCCCCTAGCTGCTAGTGATTCCCCACTACCCCATAAACATATATGCATACATACATACATATACATATATATACACACACACGTGTGTGTGTGTGTGTGCACGTGTGTGTGTATACATGTTTGTCTTCTACCGAATGTAAGCTCCTCAAGGGGAGAGATTTCTGTCTCTGTAACTCCTGCACAGTACCTACCATATAATAGGTACTTTAAAAATAAATGGTGTTGATTGATGGGTCTCACTTTTCCCTGTGTTTATAAAATTTCAGTTTTAATGAGTTATATGTCTAGTAGTACCTTTGAGTATTTAAAAGTCCCTGTATGTGGTATCCAATAACAATTCTCTTTTTCCAGCTGCTTTTAGTTGGTCTACTTTAATCAATTCTTTACAAAGATGCACATTCTGGCTGCTTAAACCATTTATCTATAACTGGTCAATACTTTTCTGAGTTCCAAAGGTTTCTTAACATGTTCTTCCATGCCATGATTTGTCTGCTTGAGATCTTCAATCTATCAGAATTAAGAAGAAAAGAATTAGATGGCTTCCACAGTTGGATTTTTTTTCATAGCATAAGTTGGCATTTTATAATAAAATAGGCATGTAATGAAAACTTCATTCATTTTGGTTTTTTGCATATAACTTTCTGGGGAAAATATCTACATTGGTAGCAATGAAGTCACATCTCAAAAATTATTTCCTTATTACTTTAATAATAAAATTTTCTTGGCTAAAGTAACATCATTTGAAATGCCATTACCAGAAATATAACTCTTTTGCAGGGATAATTTTAGTGTGGTATTAAAAAAAACAAAAAACGGGAGGAGTGAATTCAGAAAGCCTAGGTTCCAGTCTCCATTCTGCCAGTTTCTCTAATACCTCTATGCCTTTGGGCAAATCACTTAACTTCTCTGAGCCTGAGTTGATTTCCATGATCTCTAAGGTGTTCTCCAGGTCTAAAAACTGAGCATTTTCTGTAACGTGCCACCAACTGACTTGGCCATTTTCATCAGCAATAAACACTGCCTGGGCTCATTGTGCAAGGCCCTTTGCTAAATGTTCTGGAAGGCACGTAATCTCATTTTGCTATAATCTACCAGGTAAAAAAAAAATAAATAAAATAGATCACTCCCATCCCTACAACTGTCCATATGCCTTCAGTCTATTAGGCTAAAGGAGGTCATGGGGTAGGGTTGGGGGAAACCAACATTGGATTATTTAAAATGAAAAGAAAGCCAGGTTGTCAATCTTAATACTTCTTTGCATTCATCCTACAAATAAAAGACTACTATTTGCAAGGTATTGTGCTATGCACTTGCAGTGAAACACAAAGACAATATAATTTAGTTACTGCATTCAAGGATTTTATAAAACTACAGCATCTCTAGTTATTTAGCTTCAGATTCATCCTCCTTCATTCCTCCTTTCAATCCCAATACCAGACCAAAAACAATCAAAAAAACTCCCAAAACGTGGAAACCCAAAACCATTTCTTAAAAATGAATGTTTTACCTACATGACATCTATGATATCTGCACTTTTTTTCCATAATCATATTACACTTCTAAAGAGCAGAGCCTGTTTTTAAAATCAAGTTTTTAACCATGCAAATCACTGTTTTCAATACCTACTGATAAGTGTAAGTAGAGCACAGTGATTTTATATTTGATGTTGGATACAAAGAATTATTTTTAAGCAACAGAAACTTTGGAAGATTTAAAAAACAGGAACTTAAGATTTTTAATCCTATAAAACTAGAAAATACTGCAGCATTTTTTAAATGAAAAGAAACCATGGACTTTAGATGCCCTTCAACCTTATAATTTTTCATCTCTCAACTAATATTCATGATCAAAAATTAGAAAAGCAATAATTAGAGTAAAGATGAACTAACTTCTTTTTAAGGGGTTAAAATCGGTCTGTAATTAGTTAGCTTGGTACACAAATATAGTCACAGAAAACAAGCTTTAATGCTGTGTGATATCCGACATTTATATTGCACTCTAAGGTTCATGAAGTATTCTTGTATACATAATCTCATTTGATCCTGAAGGCAACTCTGTGAGGTAGACAGATATGTCTTCAGGGTCACATTCCTCACATTTCCCAATTTTACAAATAAGGAAACTAAAGCTCAGAAAGTTGAAATGGCTGTTCTATGGTCACAGAGACAGTAAATAAATATTGAAGGCGGGATTTAATTTCAAGTTCAGCACCCTTTCCACTACACATCATGCTAACTCCAGTATGATATGGGAACTAGGCTAAGAAAATACAGCAAGCTAAAACTAAAGCAAAGATGAGGAAGACGGCAAATTTGGGAATTGTAAGACTGCGCCATCTGTCTTCAAAGGGGTTTAAAAATTTGTGGTGCCCAACTGCTGCCCTGTAATTGCCTCCCTGTGAAAAATGTCAACCTCTATTTCTGAATTTTACCAATGATAATGGGCTCCATGACAATTAAAATGTATAATTTGCATCTATAATCAACATAAATTGTTTACTGTTCTATTTAAACTACAACACTAACTACTATTTTAAAATCATGGTTAAAAACAAAATTTAAACCACAATGGTTTAATGGCTGGTACTATTCCTCTGCTTAAAACTAAGGTCTTCACGTTACCTCTCGTAAATTCATGTGAAGTAACAAGGATATATAAGAGTACATGGACAAAAGTCACATGGGATAAGAAGGTATGGGTAGCTTATAATCTATCCTAATGGAGACAATATCCATATCAAAGAGACCACAAATCCACTGAAGTATTTAAATATAATATTATAAATCTTGTTAGAAATGTTGGTGAATGAAGGTCCCTGAGTACCTTTCAGGGTTATGATGATTCTAACGGTTTGGGTCCTACCCAGCAGCCTAGGAAAATCATTACAAAGGAACCACAGATTGATGACAAATCCCCATAAGCAAACACAATGACCTCAATGCATCAAATGGAAATTTTAAAGAAAAATAATTCAACATTATATATCCTATTGTAGCCCAATCACATAATTAAAATAATATCCTTAATAAAATTGAAGTGGAAAAGTTAAGCAAATTATTGAATGTCACAAAGCAAGTCTGATTACATATAATATTAAAATGTAACTCTACTGAATCATAATCCACTCACTTTTCTTCTAGGCTACACTGACTTGCAAAAAATTTTTTAAAAAAATCTTAGTTCTGAAAATTGATGTGAAATAACCAGAAGAAAATTTTATTATAACATAATAGCAAACAATAAATACAGTAAAGAAATAAACAGAAATTTGTTTACTTCTTGACTTTAAGCTGTCAAAAACAATATATGCATTTAAGGCTGAACTGTTTGGTCTTAAAGAATTTATAAATTTTTCTTATTAGCCTCATTTGCTGTATAACATCAACACATATTAATGCAAGAAAATGACATACATGTTTGTTTAATTGTAATAACCTGTAAATTTTAGCTTATGGATGAGTCTCTCTTGGTTTCTTACTTCTTGGGGAGTATTACGGTATTTCTCAGCTTTATTTATTGGAGCCCCTAGGCCAAAATCATGTTCTTTGGTGGTAACCTGTTAGAAAGATTGAAAAACAATATAGATCTTCATATAAAAATGGCCTTAAGATTTGTAACAAGAACTAATACATTTTTTAAATAAGGATATTAGTCTAAGGATGCACAAAGTGGCAACATTTCAAATAGTCCATATCCTTCAAGGATTTCAGATTTATACAGAACAAATAATATGAAATTATTATTTTCATTTTTAAAATCTAGAATTATATTTACCAACTCATTAATACTTTTAAAGATATCCTGGGAATTAGAAAACACAGCCTTTTAAAGCTTAAAGAAACTTTGGGGTTAATCTAGTCTAAATCAAATCCATTATTTTACATATGAGGAAACAAGTAAAACCTAAGATAAAAAATTTCTAAAAAGGTAGCAGGTTATATGACAAACCCATTAAAACACTTGCATTTTTACATACCGCTAATAAGAAGAATTAATTTCTTAAAAGAAATAACATTAGTAAAATGGATAATTTTTACTACATAAAATTTAGAAGTTTTTACACAATCAAAACTAATATGGCTAAAATTAGAAGAGAAAATAGAAGATTGGGGAAAAAATCTTTGCAGCAAGTTTCTCTGATAAAGGCCTTATTTCTAAGATATATTGAGAATTACTTCAAATTTGTAAGACTAAGAGCTATTCCCCAAGTAGTAAATGGTCAAAGGATATGAATAGGCAGTTTCCAGAAGAAGAAATGTAAGTATCAATAGCTATATGAAAAAATGCTCTAAATCACAAAAAATTAATAAAATGCAAAATATACAACTTTGATGAACTATCTCACAGTCATCAGATTGGCTAAATTGACAAAAAAAGGAAAATAATAAATGCTGAGGGGGGTGTGGGAAAACAAGGATGTTAATGTACTGTTGTTAGAGCTGTGAACTGGCCCAATCATTCTGGAAAATAATATGGAACAATGTCCAATAAGCTTTTAAACAGTGCATATCCTTTGACTCAGCCCTAGTAGGTCATTATCTGAAAGAGATCAAAGAAAGAAAAGGATCCATTTGAAAAAAATATCCATCAATCAGTAGTGATGTGCTTTATAGCTCCTCCTCCCTTTGTCGGTTTCTTATAATTATTACTGGGATTTCCTGGGGTTTTTGTGGGGATCTATATGTCACTACTGAAACTGTTTCACCCAGCAGCTGCCCCAGACTGGCCCCTATTCTAAGTAACCCACTTATGATTATTAAAACCACTTATATAATCATAATGGAGCTCCTGGCCTCTTTCTTCAGTATAAAACTAACTCCTCTGTTTAGGGAAACTGAGAATATCCCAGTGCACAGAGATATCAGATCTTACAAACCAAGACACAAAATGATATCTTATTAATTTCAGTAATATAGTGCATATCAACCCAATCTTTAGCAATTCTATACATGAACAAAAACCAAAATAATTTCAAAGAGAAGTACTATTTGTAATAATGATGAATATAAGTTTTTTAGTACTAAACTGCCAAAATCTACATAAATAAAAACAAAAGAAATTTTTAATGTAAATAAAGAAAGAATCAGATAAGAGATATATCCAATACAGAAATCAGGACTAGACCTGTGATTTCACTAACATGCAGAACTGCTAAATGAAGAAACTCCTTACCAACACAGATCTGTACTTTTTCTGCAACTTACATGGGAAGCTAGAGCTCTAAGAGGTCTGTTATCAGTAGTAGAACATGAACCTAGGTTTTTCTGATTGAGACTAGCTCTTTAACCATTATGTCATGCTGCTGCTCATTTAACACAGTGACCTAATATAGCATGTAAAATGTTTCTGCCTATGAAGGCCCAGCCCTTAGAAAGTGCTCAGATTTGCCCTTCTCAGTTGTTTATACAGAGCAAGTACAATATTTTCTGTCAACATACAGGACTCTGGAAGTCAGTTTTCAGCCTTGATGACTCAAGGTGAGTATTATATGACGATGAAAAGTTTTCCGGTTGGCTGAGGAGCTGGAAGAATGAATGACACAGCAGAGCCTGAGCTGTAACGCAGGGTGTTTCCAAGAGACCCAAGAAGATGATTTCTCAGTCACTTCCCTACTGGCTTTTTTGAGTGAAAACTCCTATGAGCTTCTGGATTGGGGGGAGAGGCAGCAGCTGCCATCGCTCTTATCCAGTCACCACATGTCCATGAACATGGTGCTTTGGTTTCTGTACTGTTTATCCTTTCCTGGCTTTTCTGAGATAGGAGTGCCAAGGCAACTAGTGAAAGTGGAAATCTATCAAAGTTATTAGAGGTCCAACCAGCAACTGGAGCCAGTGGCAGCAGCAGACAAGTCGAGTGAGGAAGAGTGCAGCTGACAAGCAATGGTTTGATCCATCCCAGCAGGAGACTGACCAGTCAGCTAAGGCATCATTTTCTGCAAGGAAGCTAGCCCTGGTAAGTCACTTAATCCTTCTAGGTCTCAATTTCTTTATCTATAAAATCAGAAGACTGGAGTAGGTCATAGGTTCTTTACTTCTTTTACATTTCATGGATTCCTTTGGAAGTCTGACAAGGGCCTATGGAATCATTAGACTAATATTTTTCTTTTTTGAGAAATTTATTTTTAAACTTTTTTTTTTAATTTTCTCCCTCCCAACCCTCCTCCACTCAGTGAAAAGGTAAGTAATATGACACCGATTACACATGTAATGTCATGCAAAATATATTTACACATTAGGTATGTTGCCCCCCAAAATAGTAAAAAGTAAGAAACATATAAAAGGTGAAAAAAGTATGCTTCGATCTGTACTCAGAGGTCATCAGTTCTTTCTCTGGAGGTGGGCAGCATTTTTCATCATTGATCTTTCGGAATTGTCTTGAATCACCGTCTTGATCAAAGTAAGTAAGTCTTTCATTTTAAAAAGTTCATGGACTTAAGTTCATAGGTTAAAAAACCCTAGACGAAGAGATCTTGGAGGATTCTTGCAGCTCTAAATCCTGTAATCCTCTTGGTATTATTAAAAAAGGGATTTTGGGGGCAGATAGGTGGCGCAGTGCATAAGAGCACTGACCCTGAATTCAGGAGGAATCCAGGTTCAAATCCAGTCTCAGACCAGACACTTGACACTAGCTGTGTGACCCTAGGTAAGTCACTTAACCCCAATTACCTCGCAAAATAAAAGGGGATTTTTAAGAGCTAAGAGCAGTCTTTTAAAAGCTGACATACCTAATTCCATTTTGTTCTGTATTTTCCATTTTGCTTTCTGATTTAAACAGCCTCTTTCTTTCTAAGCTGGAGAGAAGAATAGTTGCCCTTGGTGGGTCTTAAGTATTAGAAAAGTCTTCAAAACTGCAAGTTGCAAAATATCTTGTTCTGTTTCTTTTCTTTCCTAGCTAAGGAAGAAGAGTGACTCATTTATCACAATTGACTTTCTCCAAAGCAAACTTGGTGGGGACTCTGCTAAGGGAGAACCCTCACTAGATGAAGAGTCATGGGGTACTCTTCTGCCTCACAACCTCTGTACTTTAAGCTTGAGCCCGCTTTCTCTGAACAAGGTGTGTGTGTGTGTGTGTGTGTGTGTGTGTGTGTGTGTGTGTGTGTGCCCCCTCCTCTGGTTGGGGGAAGATTATTTTTTAACTACTGTTCTTACAATACCTTCTCATTAAAAATCATTTTGTAAAAACTAATTGTTGTTAACTACTTGTTCAATAGTTGTAAACACAAAGGATAGGAGTTCGTGAGCAACAATACTAAAATTCCCCTTATTTCGGGGTTACCCCCCAGAATCCTAGGGGAAGAAACAATCACCCACGGGAACATAACCTTTTGGTTCAGTGCTAGTTGGGACAGTGAGACTTGAATTTGAAAGTCAAATTTTCTATTCCTCTTTTCATCAGGAATGTTTGAAAATCCTCTATTTCATTAAATATCCATTTTTTTCCTCTTAAGGGATTTTACTCAGTTTTGCTGGGTAGTGTTGGTTGTAATCCTAGATCCTTTGCCTCCAGACTCTTACATTCCAAGCCCTCTGCTCCTTTAACATGGAAGCAGATAAATCTTTTGTGATCCTGACTGTGGCTTCACAGTTTCTGAATGGTTTCTTTGTTGTTGTTTGCTGGTCTTTGATCTGGGAGCTCTGGAATTAAGCTACAGCACAGAGCCTGGCATACAGTAAATATTTTAAAAATGCCATGATGTGGAATTTCATTTTTTGTTCCACAATTACTGTAAAATGGGAGTGGAAGTTGGTTTGGTTAATTCAAATCAATAATTTGATTAGGTAAGTATGTCAGAATCCAACCCCTCCCTCCAACCAGAATCAATACACTAATAATTTGTGTTTCTCATGGATTTTATCTAAAAACTAGAATACAGGTTGTTCTTATTTCTCAGAATTTAAAGCAAATTTTATTTTGCATGCCTCATCTTTCTTCACACCAATGTTTTCATGCAGGTGTAACCAGGTTAAAATAAACATCAAGTGAAATCTTGAGCAAAGAAATCCTAAAAAAAACAACATACAGCCTGAGGAGTTGGTATGGAAGAAGGTTCCTATTCCTCTGCATAGCTGATGGAGGAAATACTGCTCTGGATATCCTTTGGATTCTACTCACTATCCAGCTACCTGGCATTACTCATAGCTGTTCCCTGATTCCTCTCCCCACCCCCATCCTTTCCTAAAAGTAGTTCAAGGCAATTAACCCATGGTTGACTGACTAGCTATCATCTTACTTGAGTGTTTTTTTCACACAATTCAATTAAATAAAACAGATCTTCATCAAGCAACTATTTACAAGATAAATACTGGTGATAGATAAAAGGATATTAGTTCCTCCCCTCCAGGAGTTTACTATCTATTAAAGGAGATCCCTTACACTTACTTACACACACACACACACACACACACACACACACACACACACACACACTCACAATGCCAAATGTCATGTGGTAAAAGAGATTTCAGGGGGTGGAGCCAAGATGGCGGAGTAAAAGCAGTGACTTGCTTGAGCTCTCACCCAAACCCCTCCAAATACCTATAAAAAATGGCTCTAAAC